CATGCTATGCAGGCTGCAGGGGAAGAAAGGGCATCAAAGTCTCACCCAGCTGTAAGCCCCACAAATGGCCAGGCAAAGATGTGCCCACTTAGGCAACAGTGGTACAACTGTTATGGAGACAACCAACTATCCTTTTATTGGATTTGAGAAGACCTACTCTGCACAGGAGAGAATCCTTACTGGTACTGCAAACCTGCTCAAAAGCTCACAGTGAGGAAGAACATAGGTCTAAATGCACTTGTTTTTTTTTTTTTTTTTTGGTTTTTGAAGACAAGGTTTCTCTGTATTCCTGGCTATCCTGGAACTTGCTCTGTAGACCAGGCTGGCCTCAAACTCAGAACTCAGAGATCCTCCTGCCTTTGCTGGAATTAAAGACATGTCCCACCACTGCCTGACTACTCAGACAATTGCCATTCTCAATCAAAAGAAGCCTCTTTCCAGTGAGTTGAGATCAAGTTTTACGTAAATCACGGTTGAGTGCTCAACCCCAAGCAGTACATTTATAGCATTCCTGCCAAAGCTCAGGGGACACTGTGGAAGAATGGGAGAAAAAAAGCTGGCTCAGCTATGTTCATAGCAGCACTATTTGTAATGGCCAGAACCTAGATGCCTGTCAACTGAAGAATGGATTAAAAAAATGTGGCACATATACACAATGGAGTACTACTCAGCAGTGAAAAACAATGACAGCATGAAATGTGCAGGCAAATGGATGGAACTAGAAAAAATCATCTTGAGTGAGGTAAACCAAACCCAGAAAGACAAACATGGTATGTACTCACCCATAAGTGGATGCTAGATATAAAATAAAGAACAAACAGACTACAACCCACAGAAGCATGGAGGCTATATATATAGCATGGATGACTGTGGCTTATAATAAATTTTGGTTTTACTCAATTACTGAGCAAGCCTCAATGAAACATTTCACTATTAAGATAAGAATACATACTGTATCAAGCTGATAATAGAAAATTAATTAATTAATTAAAAAAAAAAGCTGGCAGACAGGAAGAAGGGCTGCAAAACGCCATCTTATGGCAGCCACTGTGATCAAGGACTCCTCCAAACTACTGATTACTTCAATGAATCTGCTCACCAGCCAGACAAGGATGGAGGAAGGACTCAGGGGGCCCCTAACCCTCACTGTTGAACTACTTTCTACACATAAATTCAGGGGAAGAAGGAATCACTGTCATCATTGAGCAGCCACTGGTGACCCCCTCCAGGCTACAATGGACAACCCTAAGCCAATGGTCACGCAGATGACTCTGACTAAAAGTCCACACAACAAAACCTAAAGTCATGAATCTAGAGAAGGCATAGGTAGGGAGGAGGGGCGTTGCCATGGATGGGAAGGAGATAAGAGAGGGTGGGAAGAAACAGTAACCAGAAGGTAATCAGTATATACATGTCAATGAATTAATTTAAAAAAATAGAAAAGTCGCATCATTTAATAAAGAACCAAGAATGGAATAACTAGTATAGAAATATTAAATAATTTTAGCTATTATCACAACTTTAAAAGTTTGCTTTTTTAAAACAGAAAATATACACTCTTTTGTACTATACATGGTAAAATTTTGGTACCCACATCAGATGGATTTCAGTGCCCTTCCCTTCACTGAAAATTCTTCTCAGTCTATTGAAGAGATCTTGTACTCACATGGGTAAGGGTGGAAGGCCACTCAAGTGTACAATGTGCCCCTTCTCCCGGCAGGGATGGCCAATAGGTAGGAAGGAAAGGGACTGAGATTTATTGAGATTGGGGACTTAAAAAATCATTTACCCCAGTTTATTAATACACCACTTAATTCTAGATGAGCAAAAGGAAACTGCTGGTTATGACCCTGGGGTAGGTTAATTGACTACAGCCGCAAAATAATGAGCCTTGTAAGGAATTTCTTGTGATAGTTCAGACAAGAGATAGTTCGGATTCGAGTGTGTGGTGGGGTTTTAACAGTAACAAACAACAATGAGAGCTTATTATTTTGTCCTAAAAGTAAATTATTTTAGGGAAGTGAATACTAGGTGGTTCCCAGAAGATTTTAAAGGAGACTGGAACAGTAGAAAAAAGATGTCAGTGATCGTATTTGGACACACTGAGCTTGTTGGTTTAGAAATATTTACCTATGGGCTGGAGAGATGGCTCAGCCGTTAAAGGCTAGGCTCACAACCAAAATATAAGAAATATTTACCTAGAAGTTATGCTATGAATTCAAGGAAGAAAATAGGATTTTTCACTTCGGAATCATTGAGTAAATCCCCTTGCTCCTAACAATACTGACATTAAAACCATTAACACACACACACACACACACACACACACACACACACCTGAGGGGCTGGTGGGATGGCTCAGCAAGCACTTGCTGTGCAGGCCTGAGTATTCAAGTGGAATCCTAGGAGCCCACAGTGGAGAGAGAACTGACTCCCAAAAGCTGAAAAGTTGTCCTTCGATCTCCACATGCCTGCTCACTGCCCACCTGCACTGGCACACACTAACTAGGATTACTTCTACCATTGTATTGTAAGGTTTTTATTGAAGAAAATGAATATAAAAAAATTAAATATAAAAACAAACATGGTAGTTAAAAATAATTTAGCCCTACTGTTCAAAACTTGAGCATCTTTTATTTGTGGTGTCAGTTTATTGAGTTCTGGCTAAGTCTATAGCAGAATCTACTGCAGTACTAAAAACCGTTATTGAAAACACAGAATGTAGGCCCGCCATTTTTAATCCCAGCACTCTGGAGGCAGAGGCAGGTGGGATCTCTGTGAGTTCAGGATCAGTCTGGTCTACAAAGCAAGTTCCAGGACAGCCAGGGCTACACAGAGAAACCCTGTCTCAAAAAAACCACAAAACAAGCCACCAAATATACAAGACTCTGTTCCAGTTTCCTTCTCTGTCCTGTCCTCTTCCTGATGCTTACAATTTAGCTGATTCTCTACAAATAACTGTCTCAGTCTCTGGGCCCAAATGTTTGCTGGGCTGTTGAAGTATTGCTTTACCAAAATGAGGAACATTCCTGGGATCTGCTTTCTCCCGTATATCGATTCCTATCTTCGACAAAAAACACTTTACCCAAATACACTCCAGTGCTAACCTTCCCTCCCACTGCAACTTTGTTTCCAGGTCAATTAAAAACAAGTATTAGCAGCTTCTCACTTATGCAAGCACCATCTCCAGGAAAAGGGAAAGGAAGATAAGGATTATTGCTGCTTTGCTTCAAAACACAGAGGACAAGCCAGACTTGGCGGTGCATCCCTTTGATCCTAGTACCGGGGAGACAGAGCCAGGTGGATCTCATTTGCGGCTACCTTGAGGTCTATAGTGTTTCTCAACATCCTAATGCTGTGACCCTTTAATACAGTTCCTCATGTTGTGGTGACCCCAACCATAAAATTATTTCGTTGCTACTTCATAACTGTAATTTTGCTACTGTTATGAATCGTAATGTAAACATATGCTATACAGGATATGTCATACGATCCAAAGGGGTCACGACCCACAGGCTGAGAACCACTGACATGGAACCTTCCAGGACAGGCAGGATTATAGAAACCTTGTTTCAAAGTAACAAAACAAACAAACAACAACAACAAAACAAAAACATGGGACTGATTAATTCTGGATTTCACAAGTACTTAAATAGGAATCTCTGCCATCCATAACCCACCAACGTACACTGCAACATTGTAACACATTTGTCTTGGCTTTGAAAATATATTCTTTAAACAATACTTCCAACCACTTCACCTGTACTTTTTAAACAAGTTATACTTCTGGTATGTGTGTATTCTAACTCAAAATACAAAGTATTCTATTGATTAATTCTGACAAACACCTTTCTAAAGAAGTCAACAGTGGCTGGGGTTTTATTTTTCTAACTTAAATTGCTTAGGCAGGCTGGGAGAAATGTGCAAAAAAAATTTTTTTTTGGGTGGGGGCGGATATCTGAAAGGTGGTGCTTCTCGACAAATACGTGCTTGGAACAAGTCCAAGACTTGTAAATTATAGGAAGCAACAAGAGATAGGTTTTAAAGGCCTATCTCTTGCAGCTGGTGGTTTTTCCTTCTTTTAAAAAACAAAACTGAACTTTGTAGGGAGGTAGATGGAAAAAGGAGTAGGGAGAACAATACCACAAGTCCACGTATGAACTCTTTCAACCTTATTTCACTATTGCAGAGACTGGTAAAAATCTGTGCTTTTCCACACTGGTAACTTTTTCGAGACTGGACTAAATGAACTTTAAGCTTAAAAGACAACTTTCCTCTTTTCCTTGCTTTCTCAGACGAACATCTCCTCTTTCATCTCCAGGACCGTAAAATACGTGCCTCCTCCCTAGGATCGCACATGGGGGATTTCTTCCCCGTGTCTCTTGAAATCTACTTTCGCGAATGAGAAGGGACCATTCTTGCAGATGCCTTGGCTAATACGTTCAAAGGTCCACTGTGCCGTTTCCTAGTTCTCTAGTAGTCTAGGCTGGCTCGCCTAGATCTCGGGTTCTCGCGCTCAGGCGCGGACTGGGAGACACGCGCGCGACGGGCAGCATTCTAAGCACCATCAGCGGTGCTCGCGCCCGCCTTTCCCTTCCCCTCTCCAAGGACACTCAGTACCGAGCTTGGCTTGCGCCCACTTACCTATACTAAGCTGTGGGATGTAGACGGGATGGAGGAGGAAAGGAAAAACAATCAGACAGAAGCTGCAGTCTCTTCGCAGAAGCAGTAGCTACCACTAGAGACACCGGCGCCTCTCGTGGTGCAAGGAGGATGTGCACACGTCCTCCTCCCGGCACCCGTAGAAACTCCTAGCTGCGGAGAATTACCTTCCGGGTCGAGGTGCTTAGAGACGAAAGAGGAGTTGTAAGCTTCCTAAAATCCCACACTTTCATGACTCCTCTCTCCCGGACTCAAATTCTTTTTGTGTCTCGTGAGTCTGTGCGGTCATGCTAAGCGGAACCTCCACAATTACTTTAGCTTCTAGCGCCTCCTGACTTATGGACCGGAAGAGTCCCTTTCATCAACCTAGCTCCGTGGGCACCTCCGGAAGTGACACGCCACGTTCCGGGAGAGTACTGGCGGGAGAGGAGAAAGGCAGCGATTCTCGCGGCGGGTGGAGGATGAAGAAGGAGCATGTTAGTCACTGTCAGTTCTCCGCCTGGTACCCGCTCTTCCGAAGCCTTACCATCAAGAGGTAAGATACCTGGAGGCGAAACTGCGGTGTTTGGGCTAATCCCATCTCCTTCAGAAAACTAAAAAAGGCAGGCCCTCCGACGACTCAGTGGGAGCGTCGGCGTTGAGCTGTCGACTTCTTAGATTTGAAGTGGCAAGATTAGCAAAGAAGATCAGAATTTACCATGCTTCCCGTTGCGAGTCCTTGGAGCGTGTCAAGAGAGGTAGGAAAGCAGTGAGGGTCATAGGCAGGGTAAATTGGGATCGATACTTTTGGAATTGACAGAAGCACAAGGTGATAAACAAAACAAAGCAAAACTGGGTGGTCCACCTTGCCACTTGTTGGTTGTTTTTGTTCTTAACTAACCACTCACAGAGGCTTATTCTTAATTATAAATGCTTGGCCTTAGTTTGTCTTGTTGCTAGCCAGCTTTTTTTTTTTTTTTTTTTTTTTTTTTTAACTTTAAATTATCCCGTCTTACCTTTTGCCTCTGGGCTTCTACTTTTCTCTTCTGTAAATCTTAATCCACTCTTACATGTGTAGCTGGTGGCTGGCGCCTGATGTCTTCCTCTGCTTGCTTCTCTTCTTGCTTCTCCTAGATTTCTCCTTTTATTTATTCTCTCTGCCTGCCAGCCCCGCCTTTTCTCCTGCCTGGATATTGGTCGTTCAGCTCTTTATTAGACCATCAGGTGTTTTAGACAGGCACAGTAACCCAGCTTCACAGAGTTAAACAAATGCAAAGGAATGCAACACATCTTTGCATCATTAAAGCAAATGTTCCACAGCATAAGCAAATGTAGCACATCTTAAAATAATATTCTACAAGAGCCACTAACTAACCCGACTGGTGACAGTTACTGAGTTCCATCACTGTAAAATGAGGGCAGGGATACTGACCCGACCTAAGTCTGTTGTGAAGTTCCGTTATGGTAATATATAGGAAGCATTAGATGGTTGCATTGCTACTGATGACCCAGTGTTCTGAGAAGCAGCAATCCATCTGGAAAGAGAATGGGATTGTACTTGTCCTCTAGTTCCCTGGCCTAGAACAAGGAATCTATTCAGGTTTGCAGAATGCCTCTGGTGAATTGCCTCCAGCCATTCAAAAGCAACAATAAAATATGAAAGATGTAGATAAGACTTTCATTCACTAACAGGGATAGATAGTATATATATCTCCAAAGGCCGTGGGTATCCATGGGTAGGTAGGATTTCTTGCATTTTGCTCACTTCTCCTTTAGACTTACCTAGATTGTCACTTATTTGGACATCAACTGTCTTTCCCATTTCCTTCTGTTCTCTTTTTGAATTTTGAAGGTTTGGAAGAGCACTTGCTTTCCAGTGCTCTTGGAATAACTTCCAAGGTTATTCAAAAGACATCTTTTCCATCGTGCTATTCAAACATAGGTTCTCTTTCTAGTTCCACATGTGGTAATGGAATGTATAGTAACACAAAGTAAGATAATTCTTGCATTTGAAGATGGCCAGTTACATCAAAGAAGAGCTGTTGATGCAGCAGTAATTGCTGTCTGTCACTAGTTATCTTTCCTAGCTGAAATTCCAGTCCTTCATTAACTTACATAATTAAAGTTAAGCTGTGGGTCTGAAATAATGTTTGGATTATTTCTTTGGCGTTGGTATGACAGATGGTTCACTTGTGAACTTGTCAGTTATTTTTGTGCTGAAAATCGTTTTTTGTTCATTTTGTCTATCTTTTTGAAAGAGTCTGGTTATCAAACTGGTGACCTTCCTAGCTCAGTCTCCCAAGTGTTGGGGATACAGACTGCACTACCATTCCCAGCCCGGCCCTGAATTTTCTTTTTTTTTTTTTTTTTTTGGTTTTTCGAGACAGGGTTTCTCTGTGTCCAGGCTGGCCTCGAATTCACAGAGATCCGCCTGGCTCTGCCTCCCGAGTGCTGGGATTAAAGGCGTGCGCCACCGCCACCACCGCCCGGCTAACCTGAATTTTCTTAAGAACTGTCCTTTGGTGTGTGTGTAACTGTCTGTTGTAACCTCTGACATAGTGTACCTTCGCCTTAAGCAGAATAAGCATACAGTGATTAACAGTCAGACTCGAGAGAGTCAGAACCATCTGTCTGAGTTTGAATTCTGGTTCTATTTTAGCATCTTCAGCAAATTACTTCATCTCCCCAAACCTCATTTGGAAAACGCAGGAAGTAGTAGGATTGTCATGAGTGTTACATAAAATAAAATACTTAAAGTGCTGCTGCTCTTTCTAATACATAGTAAACACACACAAAAATGTTGCTTGTTACCTTTTGGATTTAATATTTTAATTCACTTAAAATGTATGCCACGTATACGAAGATGATAGTGGAAATAAGCCAATAAGTGGGATTTTTATGGCATCACTAAGCAGTCCATGACTAAGCTGTGTTACCTAAACCCACCTTTAAAATGTTTATTTATTCATTTATTTATTTAATTTGTGTGTGTGTGTGTGTGTTGGGCATGTGGAGGTTACAGGAGTCTGTTTTCTCCTTCCACCGTGTGAGTCCTGGGGATTGAACCTCAAGTTATCAGACTTGATGGCAGGTACCTTTACCCACTAAGCCTTCCTACCTGTCCAGACTAAAAGCATGCATTCTTTTTGAAACCATGCCCTCTATTTAACTTGGTGATGTCACTAGCACCTAACAAGACAGCCCTTCCACAATCCAGACAAATCAAGTGAAGGCATATGGCAGCCATTGTCTGCTTTAGTGCTGAAAATACACCTTCTGACTATTGTCTTAGAATTATTATTTAGTATTTTATTATTTTTGCTTCAGAGCTGATTATGCACATTTATTTTTAAAAATAATTTTTATTTATCCCTTGAGAACTTCATATATGTATATGATGTATTTTGATCCTATTCATGCCATTTCCCCCTTCTACTCCCAGGTTTAAGTAACACACTCTACCTCCCAACTTCCTATCCTGTATTTTTTTTTTTTTTTTTTTAAATATCTCAGTTCAATTAGTGATGCCTGTGTGTGCCTGGGGGTAAGGCCACCCACTGGAGTTTGGGCAGTCTTCCAGTATCCACATCACCTAAGAAAATGACCCTTTTCCCCACAGCAACCATCGATTGTCAATCGCTCTCAGCTGGGAGTGGGCCTTGTGAGCTCCCCACCCCACTTCATGCTGGGATTTTGTTTGTCTGATCTTTTGTTGGTAACCATAGCTGCTGGGAGTTCATGAGTGCAGTGCCACATCATGTCCAGAAAACAGCATTCCACAGTGCTCCTCCCCATCCTCTGACTCTTTAGCAATGTTCCCTGAGCCTCAGGTGTGAGGTTGATATAGATGTCCCGTTTAGAGGTGAGCATTCCATAGTCACTCATTCTCAGCATTCTGATCAGTTGTGATTTTTATCTGGTTCTCTGGATTTGGCTGGTATTTTTTCTTATTTCACTGTAAGAACTACTGTGGTAATTACTGTGGTAAACTGAAGTGTGTATTCATATTATACTGAGCTAGTTAGAATCAAGCCTAAGCTATAACCCAAGATTTCATAATTAATAATAAGTCTCTGGGGTTTTTTTTTTGAGCTGATGCCCCTTCCCCTCCCAAAAATCTGTCTACATCTCTCCTCTGTGCTAGTCCTTTTAAATGATGCCCTTTTTTGGTATATTTTGTTTTTTTTCCAGTGTCATTCTCCCACTTCCTCAGAATGTGAAAGACTATTTACTCGACGATGGGACTCTGGTGGTTTCAGGAAGGTAAAGTATATCAGAAAACAATTCTTTATAATCATAAAGAAATGGTGTACCGATTAAGTCAACATTTTTGCATGGGTGAATAGATTAGCCTAGGCGTACCATCCTCTTCATTCAGGAGGCAGAGGCAGATGGACCTCTGTGAACTCAAGGCCAGCCTGGTCTACACAGCAATTTCCAGGCCAACCTGTACTACACAGTGAAAGCCTATCTCAAAGTAAATAAAGAAACAATTAAGCACGTCCTTGAGATTGATGTTCAGGTCCTCGTGTCTGCACAGCAAGTGCTTTTGCTCCTGACCCACCTCCTCAGCCCCCTTGTTTGTGTTTTTGAAACAGTTTTGTCATATCCCACACTGGCCTGAACTTTACTGTGTGTGTGCAAGTTGGCCTTGATATTGCCTGCTGGATTTTTAGTGTAGCTTTCTGGATTGTATTTCTGGCATTGATTACCCCTTTTCTTTTTTTGTTTTTTTCTTTCTTTAAAAAATTTTTTTTTTTAAATTATTTATTTATTCCTATTTTATGTCCATTGTTTTGTCTGTGTGAGGTTGCCAGATTCTCTGGAACTAGAGTTACAGACAATTATGAGCTGCCATGTGGGTGCTGGGAATTGAACCCAGGTCCTTTGGAAGAGCAGCCAGTACTCTTAACTGCTGAGCTATCTCTCCAGCCCCCTCTTTCTTTCTTTTTTTGTTTGTGTTTGAAGACAGGGTTTCTCTGTGTAGCTCTGGCTGTCCTGGAGCTTGCTCTGTAGACAAGGCTGGCCTCAAACTCAGAGATCTGCCTGAGTGCTGGGATTACAGGCATGATACACCACTCCCTGACCATTGATAACCTTTTAATAACATGAAAATCATTAAAGTAGAGTCTCAGTGTGGTGTAATTAAAGGATAAGGAAATAATTTAAAAAAAAAGAAAAAAGACCGCACGCTAAGTATTAGGGTTCTGCCTAACATGGTAAGTTTAAGTTCTGAGTTGAATCTTGTACACTGAAAAGGAAACTGCTACTCTCAAGTGTAGTATATATAATAACTCACAGTATTATTGACCCCTAATGTTAGAAGACATTTTATACATTTCCATGCTGTGGACATCAAAGAGCCTTCTGTATTGACTTTTCATCCATCAGATGCGTGCATGAGTATCAGGTATTGGCAAGCACCATGTGGAATGTTGAGGGTGTTCTATAACACCATTCATGGGGAGATGTAAGCAGGTGTCTACTCACCCCACATAGGGGACTGGGGACAGACCTGAGTCCAATTTGGTGAACTAATTTGTTATATTGGAGCCACTTAGAAGAATGTGGGGGAGGGGTTACTTCCAGGAGCAGAAATGACTCACAGCTGTATCACCAGATGCCCTTCCCAGCACAGGTGACAGCTCACAAAGCTGGAACTGTAGAACATAGTACATGGGACCTTAGAGCATATTGAAAGACAGTGAATTGTGCCTTCAAAGTTTGAATTTGAGCAATTTTCTGCCTAGAAGTTCATATTAAGCCAACTACTCCACTCACCAACATGAGTATGAGAGAGAGGAATAAAAATGTTTTCATATATATATATATATATATATATATATATATATATTCAAAAGCTTTTTCTGTTTGCATTCTAGAGCTTGTTTCAATAAAATGGTAAACTAAGAGAAACAAGAATGTAGTACCTGTAGAGACCCACAGAGGCCTCTTAGTGAGAACTTATTCAGGGTTTGAGAATCTGAGCTTGCTTTACCCAGCAGGGCTGCATAAGGGGATGATCTGACCATGGGCTTGGTTACCAGGTGTTTGGAAGGGTCTACACTTGGCTGTGCGGTTTGCTGTGATCTAGCAAGGCGGAGGTCTTTTGCTTCGTCCCTTGGCATTGTTATAAAAAGCCATTTTGAAGAGGCAGAAGGGACTGTTGGATTTTGATCCAGGTCCCGAAGTTATCCTATGTTTCTGTCTTTTTCCTTTTTGCTATCTTTTGATCTAAAAGTCCCATGTCATTCTGGTTTTTGCTTTTTTTTTTCTAGGTAAATGGTATGGGATTTTATGTTCTATATTTCATATTGCTTAATAATCATCTAGATCCCTTATCTATTGCAGCATAACACAGCACCTCAAACTTAGCAGCTTAAACCAGGGCCCATTTTGTTTGTCACTGATTGCTGGCAGCGTCTCTCACATTGCTGCATATCTTGCAAGCAGAATCACGGCCAACTTTTGTTCTTGACCATCTTTCCAGGAGTGTTTATACATAGCAGGCAGCTTGAGGAGGAGAGAGGGTGTCTCCCTCCAGAATAAAAGCAGGTTAGATATCTCCCTGGGTTATGCATGGAGCAGGTGTACTTGGATTTCTTTGTAAAAGATGAGATTCCTTAAGAGGACACTCGGGCCACTCTGTGCTGACCCTGTAAGACTGGAGGGTCAAGAGGGAACTAATTCAGAGATGCTTTGTGCTGTCCTGTGAGTAACAGAGCCCTTTGTTTCTGAGTCGGGAATCTCATGATATCTGCTAATGTCCAACCAACTGTGGGCAGCGCTCTTGTTAACTGGTACATATGGAAAAATTGATCTTCTTCTTCCTTAGCCCTGGGCAAGTCTTCTGTTGGTCTTGCTAAAGTCACATGCTGTAGTCATTTGGTGACCAGGCTGAGGTGGGTCATCATAGGATGGACTACCTCACATGTCTGACAGTTAAAGCTGTCACTTGGGTCTCCTTTTCCATGTGGACCTCCTCATCCTCAGTAAGACTAGCATTAGCTTCTTTACAGAGCGGTGTGAGGAGAGGCTGTGAAGACTGCTGGTGGCCTAGTGCAGAATCAGGTGCTATTGCTTTGGATAAATTGTGTAGGTCAGAATGGGTCTGGAAGCTAGTCTAAATTAGAGGGATGGGGAAATATATTCTGGAATGTGATGGGTGGAAAGGCAGAATAACCATGCAGAGAAATATGTGAGAAGTTTGTGGGCCTGCCTACCTGCCTCCTTTTCTCTCTCCATCCCGCCTTTTACTTTCTTCCTTGTGTAGGTCCAGAGTAATCTTGACGCCATTGCACATGCTCAGTTTTCCTTGTACAAACAAGAAGTCTTGGTTTTGCGCCCAGTGCTGTTCCGTTAGCTGTGTGGATAGCTCTTCCCATTTCCCCTGTATCTGCCCTCATCCTGTCTTCCCTGTCTTACTACCACTTCCTCAAATATTGGGATCAAAGTTGTACATGATTCTTACAGTGTTAATAGAGATGGAGTTTGGTTTTTTTCCTTCCTGGTTTGAGTGATTTCTGAGCAGGCAGAACATTTTCATTCTGCCATCTCTTACTGGCAGTATACTCCCATTAATTCCACATTTTATTTATTTATCCATCCATCCATCCATTCATACATTCATCCATCCATCCATCTATCTATGGTTTTTTGAGACAGGGTTTCTCTGTGTAGCCCTGGCTGTCCTGGATCTTGCTCTGTAGATCAGGCTGGCCTCTAACACAGAGATCTACCTGCCTCTGCCTCCTGAGTGCTGGGATTAAAGGTGTGCACTACAACCTCCTGGCTTTTATTTATTTTAATTCCACATTTTTATTAGCTTCTGTCTCAAGAGGTGAACATTTGTTTATATTACTCTCCAAACCTAAAGCTATCCGTTTTGCATTTATCTTATTTATTTATTTATTTACTTACTTACTAATTTACTTATTTATAAATTCAGTACATTTGAAATTATGACTTCATGGCACCAAAGTATTTTTCTCAGTTAAATTTTGCTTTTTGTTTTCTTAGGGAAGATCCGCCAACATGTTCCCAACCAGACAGTGACAATGAGGCAGAAGAAACACAGGTCAGTAGAGAACAGTCTATTTAGTATCTGTTCTCATTTAGACAATCTCTGAAATGCTTTTGACAGATCTTACCTTACGTTTTATTACATGAAAGTCTTACTTTGACATAGATATGTCATAGATACATATACGTGGTGTATGTGTGTGGTATGTATGTTTGTGCATACTATGTATGTGCCCCATATGTGTGCATTGCAGAGGCCAGTGAAGGACATCCAGTGTCCTGCTATGTCAGTCTCCATTGTATTTCCTTGGGACGTTCTCTTGCTGAACTTGGAGCTCACTGCTTTTCAGCTAGGCTAACACTGGCCTGCAAGCCCCAGGGTTACCCTCAACCCCACTCTATCACTAGGGTTCCAGGCATGGCCAGCCACTTCTGGCTTTTTACGTGGGAATTGAAGATTAGAACTCAGGCCTTCATGCTTGAGTAGCAAGTGCTTTTACTAAGCCGTCTCCTCATATAGCATGTTCAGAGAGAGAGATCTCCTGTGTGTCAATTTTAGGTAGCATACTGCCTTTGCTATCCCAGCATGGTATTCAAATTGAATGTGTTCTTTCTCTCCTCGTCCATGCAGTGGTCCGATGATGAGAACACAGCGACACTTACGGTAAGAGCAAACCGCACCAACATGGGGCAGCCTCACACTGTCGCACAAGAATGAGCCTCTAGGCTTAAGTGCCTGCCTCTGAGTGTGATGAGTGTGCCTTGGGGTACCTCACTGTCTGTGGGTGATCACTTACTGTTTGTAGAAACAGCTTATATCATTGCTTAACAGGCAAGCATAGTTCGCTCTCTTCCCCTTTTCCTTACAAAAGAAATATCAAGAGTACAAATTTGGTGCTCAACTTGCTTCTGTTAGATCCTGAAAGATGGAATCAAGCCAAATATTAGCTCTGAGGTTCCCAGATGAAGAGGAATTAAAGTAGAAAGTCTGTATTCATTTATTCAAGGATATTTAAATGTCATAAAGTTATTTCTTTCAAGTGAGACTGAAGTACTACTCAAAAGTACTTTGTTTATTTCGATTAAAGAGATACAATTTCAAGGATACATGAGAAGACATGGAGATGTCTAAAAGTGATGCTATTTCCTTAGATTACCGTGCCAACAGATGCGGAGATGGGAATTTTTGTCTTGTTTACTCCAGATGCCATATATATTACTCTTATATATGAAAATCCCCTTCAGCTCAGTGTGATTCTGTCATACTCAGGCTGTTAACTTGGGCTCTGTGGGACAAAGGTATTTATTTAATTTCTGCCATCAGAGGGTTTATAAACCAGGGAGAAGGATGACTTAAGGTAGGAGGGAGATGGCCAGGATTTTAAAACAGAGGGAACAGTTAACTGGGAGCATCTAGAAATGCTTCAATGGGAAGCAACGTGTGGCCAGGATTTTTTTTTTTTTAGGATTTATTTATTATGTATACAATGTTCTGTCTGCAGGCCAGAAGAGGCACCAGATCTCATTACATATGGTTGTGAGCCACCATATGGTTGCTGGGAATTGAACTCAGGACCTTAGGAGAGAGTAGGCAATGCTCTTAACTGCTTGAGCCATCTCTCCAGCCCCATGGCCAGGATTTTTAAAATAAAATATTTCTATGAACTCTTTGAGAATTTCATATCTACATACAGTGCATTTTGATCATATTCATATCTACTTCTCCCCCTAACTCTCAGACCCACTCATCTCCTCTCCCAACTTTATGTCCTCTTTTTGATTACCCACCCACTTTGTGCTATGTATGTACTTATGGGTACGGAGCCATCCATCCACTGTAGATGTAACCAACCGTCTTATTAAAATAAGAAACACAGAGCCAATGTAAAAGAGAAAGCCAAGAGGTCAGAGCTCAGAGCTAAAATTTTACCTCCTGCGGTGCTCCTACCTCTCCCAAAGAGAGCTACTTCCTGTGTGTATGTCTTTAAATAGTCTTTCTGTTCTGCCTTCTCATTGGTTGTAAACCCAAACACATGACTGCCTCGTCACTGCCTGTAAGTACCGCCCTCCAGGTCTTAAAGGCGTATGTCTCCAATGCTGGCTGTATCCCTGAACACAGAGATCTATGGGATTAAAGGTGTGCGCCACCACCGCCACGCTCTTTCTATGGCTCTAATGGCTCTGACCCCCGAGCAACTTTATTTATTAACATACAATTAAAATCACATTTCAGTACAAATATAATACCACCATAATCCACTGATACATTTGACCTGGATCTTAATTAGTGTATGAGCTCACATTTAAATAATATAGATGGATAGACAATGTATTACTATAACTGGATAATTTATTTCTGTTTGTTAATATTTATTCATTATGTGTATGTTTGCAGGTGCACATGTATATAGGTGCACATGCACACATGTCCGTGTGCATGTGTAGTCCAGAGGACAACCTTGGGTATCTTTATTAAGAATGCTATTTTGGGAGGCAGAGGCAGGTAGATCTCTGTGAGTTTGAGGCCAACCTAGTCCACAAAGTGAGTTCCATAACAGCTAGGACTGTTACACAGAGAAACCCTGTCTGAAAAAAAAAACAAGAAATAAAAGAGAGATTGAGAGAGAGAGAACATCATTCACTTCATTTGAGACAGAGTCTGTCATTGGCTGGAACTTGTCAATTAGGCTAGGCTGGCTGACCAGCAAGCCCCAGGTTTCTTCCTATTCCCACTCTACCTTGATGTGGGCCTTGAGTTTTTATGTGACTTCTGGGGATCGCTCATGGAAAGCAGGTACTTCCCATATCTAAGGAGATGGGGTTCATCATGACCTCTCCATGCATGTGTGTTGTCACACTTGGCTCTTTGTTTCCCCAGTGTCTTCTCCCCTCTCCTTGTGCTCCTGTCCTTCTCAAGGAGCTTCTCTTTCTGCTCTCATGTCATATGTCCCCTTCCCAGACTGAGTAACTTAGAAACAAGAGAGATTGATTTTTCAGAGGAAACCCAAGAACAAGGTACACAGAGTGTCTGCTTCAAGGTAGCCCCTTGTTGCTAAGGAGGCAGGGGAGATGAAGAGCTGGAGGGTTCTCTGATGTCCTTTCTGCAGCTGTTAACTCTATTTATGAAGGTATAGCTAGCCCCTCATGATTTAACTTTCCAAATGTCATACCTCCCAATATCACTGTGGTTGGGATTAAGGTTTGACATGAATTTTGGAGAAACACAAACTTTAAAATCAGAACAGTGGGAACTGGAGAGATGGCTCAGTGGGCAAAAATGTTTGCTGCTAATATAGAAGTCCTGGGTTCAATTTCCAGCATCTATATCAGGTGGTTTATAACCACCTGTAACTTCCGCTCCAGGAGATCTTATGCTATATGGCTTCTGGCCTTTGGGCACCCCTACACACACATTGCACATAAACTCATACAATAAATAAATAGACAAGTCTTGAAATCAGAGTTCGTTCTCTCTCTCTCTCTCTCTCTCTCTCTCTCTCTCTCTCTCTCTCTCTCTCTCTCTGTGTGTGTGTGTGTGTGTGTGTGTGTGTGTGTGTGTGTGTGTTTTCTATACTCCTGTGTACTGAGAAGGTATAGAACCAGTGACATTCTTCATGGTAGCAGGGAACATACTTCATGCCATTATGCTTGCTTCCAAAAACTATTCGCCACTAAACTCAAACTTCTTAGAGAAACCTAGGACTGAAGTTGGGAAAGTAAAATGACCCACAGTAGCTTGCTATGCCAGAAACTAAAGAAATGGAAAAGGATGATGGGAACATGACAAAAAGAGCCAGAAACCAACTCTCTACTCTTTAAAAATATCAAAGTCATGAACAGTAAGTACCACAGAGAGAGGAACTAACTGTTGGAGGTTATAGGAAATCAATGAAATGTGACACCTAACTACAGTGGATGCTTTGGACTGGACTCTAGATAAGGAAAAAGTTCTGATTTTTCTTTTACTATAAAAGACTGTTAGGGCAGTAGGCATGCTTCAATACAACCTAGAAAGTAGGCAATGATGTTCGATTTCTGTAAGCCTCCTGATTGCGATCACTTTACTCTTTTATAAAAGAATGTTTTAACAGCTTTTTAGGGAATAAATATTCATATTTAGGGGTAACGGGACTTAGTGATTGCAGTGTGTTCTAAAATGGCATGGGAAAAGAATTCATTACACAATGTAAAGATAAATAAGTAGACATGCATAGAGTAGGGCTTGGGGAACCACGATAAAGCCGATGGGGTGAAAAGGGGACACTCTGAACAGTATGTGAGCATTCTTGCTGATCTTACATTTCTGGAAGTCTGACATCATTTTACAATAAAAAGCTAATGTCTATTTAAGTAATTAGGTTCTCCAGGTAGAAATAAGTAGAGATGGGCAGTAGGAACACTCATGGATGGATAACTCTTAGTCGAGGAGATAGTGAAGCCTGGTCCATTGAAGGAAAATTCAAAATAAATCATTCACTAGTATAATTAAAAAGCTATCAAATGAGGAACACCCCCATATGCCAAAGAGAGAATGAATATGAATCAACATGCATATAATCCTAGCACTCAGGAGACTCAGGTGTGAGGACTGCAATCTGGGCTCCATCTTGGGCTGAAAAAGGCCTTGTCTCAAAAACAGAGAGAAGTAATAATCAAGACTTCAAAAGCACCATGGTGAACTTGTAATTGGGAAATACAGCTAAAAGACAATGCAACTTGGATTCATCTCAGTGTTCCTCCTCCAAATCAAGTTGTTAAAGTGTGCATAGGGACTGGAGAGATGGCTCAGCAGTCAAAAGCACTGGCTGCATTTCCAGACAACCCAGGTTTGGTTCCTAGGACCTACATGGCAGCTTATAGCCAGCTATAACTCTAGTTCTGAGCGACCTGTTGACCTCTGCGGGACTCTGTGGTGTCAGACTTGGATACAACACCGTACATACATACAGACAAAACAGTCATATACATAAGATAAAAAAAAATGAAATCTTAAAAAAATAAAAGTGTGCATAGCAAGTGATAGTATTATATGAGATCTTAGAATGCCATATTTATGGACAAGTATGTGTACTATTGAGTTAAAGTCATGAATGCAGAAGAATATGCACTAGGTTTATAATGATAGTCAGGATTTTATTGCTCTCAGGAACATTTTTCCTTTAAGAAATCTACAACTGAGATTGGGAATTTAGCTCAGTGGTAGAGTGCTTGCCTAGCATGCGCAAGGCCCTGGGTTCGATCCTCGGCTCCACAAAGAAAAAAAAGAAAAAGAAAAATCTACAACTAACAATTTAGCTTTGCTTCACTGGAAAAAGAAAAAGTAAAACAAGCAAAACACATAAGGGTTCAAGTTAAATATGCCACATTGTTGAATGTTTCAATCTAGGAACATGAGCAAATATAACTTTATATATATATTTTGTAGTTCTTAAAAACAATTAGGACCAAAAAAAGAAAAAGGAAAAAAGAAACCTAGCCTTTGAATGATTGTGGTGCGGAATTGAGGTTAGAAAGGCAGCTGATGAGACATCAGAAAGTCTAGGGATATCAAATGAATGTGTGAGTTTTTATCCCACTCACAATGGGAACTTTCCCCTGGACAACTGACTGGTGTCTGGGTTCAAAACTGGCAATTGAGCTGTGAGCTTGAAACAATAATATTAATGTCACCTGTTTATTAGTCATTTTCAGAGTATAAAAATCATGATTCCAATGCGGATACGAAACTTTATTTAACACATTTTTAAAGATTTTACTTTTAACTTTTGGAGGAACCAGGTGCAGGTATTAAAACTGGTTAAAAATAGAATGTAAAGAAAAGGCGTAATGATCAGGTGTATTAAGTGAATATGTAATCCTCTGGGATGGGAGAGATGGTAACTGGATCTCTTTCAGGATACCCATAGGACTTGATTCTCATCATTATGAGTTAGCTATAGTTTACCAAGTTGTTCACAGTGAAAATCAAATAATGGTGTGCTATATGTAAACTTTTATAATTTAAATTTTTCTGTAGGATTCATGGTTTAGTATTTCATAAGGTTGAATGCTTTTGAAGATTGAGAGAACCAGTCAAATCTTTTAAAATGTAATAAACAGACCTGGGCATAGTGGTGCAAGGCAGCGATTCCAGCGAAATGAAGATCAAGAGGGAGGGTCAAGAGTTCAAGGCCAGTTTTGACTACATAGTGATTTTTAGGTCAGCCTGTGCTACATGAGAACCTGTCTCAAAAAAAAAAAAAAAAAAAAGCAAAACAATACAAACAAACAAAAAACAAAACCCAAGGGTTTTTGCAGATTGCCTAAAGTGCACATAGCCCTGGAGTCAATCTTTAGCACTACAAAAACCAAAGCAAAATGTGTGAAACATAGCAGTCCTTCCATGCAATGCTTTGTGGAGTAGGAAAATGAAATTATTTTGTCTTTGTAATTATTATTTTTAAATTTTATGTCTATGGGTGTTTTGCCTGCTTTTACGTCTGTGTACCACGTTCCTGATTGTTGCCTGTGGAGGTCAGAAGAGGGGTTAGGATCTCCTGGAACTGGAGTTACTGACAGCTGTGAACTGCTATGTGGGTGATGAGAATTGAATCCAGGTCCTGTAGAAGAGCAGCCAGTGCTCTTAACCATTGAGCCATCTCTATTGCCCCAATTGTAAGTCTTATAGAAACTACTGCTGATGCAGAACTTAGATAAGTGGCTTTTATTGACAGCTCGAGGACAGCCAGACCAGCAGCTTCTGGTGATTATGAGGAAGTAATTTGCATGACCAATCCTACATCCTCTTGATGGGAGAGACAAGTGGGAATACAGGATTCCTAACTCAAATGTTCATAGACAGCTCTTCATGACTGTGTCAAAGCTGAGTTGATGGTAGTCTAGTGGAAGAGAGATATGGTACAGTCTATCAAATAGTGAAAGAACTTGTTAACCAGCCTATAGGTTGGCATCTTGCTTACAATTAACCCTTTCTAGAGCTGAGAGTGTTTCTTAGAGTGCTTGACTGCACACACAGGCCAGGGATCAAGTCTTAGCCCACAAATCAAACGAAACCTACCAATGAGTTGTTTATAATTGGGAGATACATTTCCATTTTTAAGAACTTACTCTTTTGGCCTTTTTCCCAGAATCTTCTCAGCTTTTTTCTTTCTTCACTGAGCTAGATCTTTGAGAGTCCATAGGAGCCATCTGGCTTTTGTAGTGTATAGATAATTTTAGACTTTGTCAGAATATTTTTCTACTATGGAGTTTGGTTAATTTTTTTCAGAACCTGCAGTTGCCCAGTAGGGGGCAGCAACCCCCTTCCTAGAGGCGAATGCAGTTGGAGAGTGACAGAAGAGTTTGTCCTCTTTCCATTCCCCTTGATACTTACCTATAAAGCCTAAGGCAGAGCTTGTTGGCAGTCAAGCCTATCTTCCTGTTGAATAGTAGTATTTCTGTCACTTCCTGGTTGAAACAAACACCAGACTAAGCCTGTCTCTAACTCAACCAAAAAGAAAAGGACGTTCTAACTTACCGAAGTACTCTTTGGGATTTTCACTTGTATTAAAACTTGCCTGTAAATAGTAGCATTTAGGTATAGTTTATCACATCATGTGTTTTTTGTTTTTACTGAACATTTCCCATAAATGGCCCTTTAAACATTGGGTGTTATTTCTGAGACCTGATATGTATGTACAAGCAATACCCCAGTCTCTTCTTTTGAAAAATACTAGCTCTCATTAGTCGTGTGTGTGTGTGTGTGTGTGTGTGTGTGTGTGTGTGTGTGTGTCTGTGTGTGTGTGTCCGTCCGTCTGTCCGTCCGTCCGTGTCCATGTTCATGAAGCCAGAGGAAGATACTGGGTGTGGTCCTCTTGCTCTTCATCTCACTGCCTTTAAAAGGGGGTCTCTCAATAAGCCTGAGCTGGCTGGCTGGGCAGCGAGCTCTTGCAGTCTGCTTGTCTCTGCCCTCCCAGTGCTGGGGTTACAGGTGTGGGCAGCCATGCCTGGCTTTTGTACTGAGGGTCTAAACTGAAGTCTTATTCTTGTTGAGCACACTTACACACTGCCTTAGCCCTGACTGACCTTGAACTTGCTATATAGCCAAGGGTCTTGAGCTCCTAATTCCTGCTTCTACTTGCCAAGTGGTGGGATTTCAGGGCTTATGGCGTCAGAGATGGCTTTAGATGCCGGTGTTATGTAAGTATTCAGAAAGAGCCAGTGATTTGTTCTCCAGGGACCATGTACTCGGTTACAGCTGTGTTTTCAGAGATAGGAGTTTTGATTGTTTTGGAAAGTACCTGTTGAGAAGTTGATTATTTCTCTTTCTGGTAAATATTATTTCCTTGCTGATTTTATTTAATCGAGTGGGGGAATAAGAACAATGATTTGTATCCTAAATAATTCTGTTTTTAACATTCTGACTACAACCTTGAGTTATTGATCATATTTTCCGTGTCTGGTGTTGTTGACTTGCTCATGGTTTGTTCTCTGTCTCTGTAGGCACCAGAATTTCCTGAGTTCAACACTCAAGTCCAGGAAGCTATCAATTTGCTGGGGGGTAATGTCTTCCCTAAACTTAACTGGAGTGCCCCAAGGGTAGGCGCACATAAAAAAAATCTTATTATTTGAGTACTTGTTTGTTTTGCTCTTTATTTCATTGTATAACTCCATGGAAGATCTGATTATATTCCTAATTCCAGAAAAATTCTGTTGAGTTTATTATATTTCCCCTCTGTTTTATTCTCTTGATTATTTTTCTGCATGTATTACCCTACGTCTGAACAATACTATCTATGTATTCTGCCCAAAGACAGTTTGACCTCCTGTGTTGTCAGTTGTGCCAGAATCTGCCTTCTGTGCATAGTCTGCATGTTCTAAACCATCACCTACTCAGTAGAGCAAGATTTTCTCTGTCGAAAAGTTCTAATAAGTATGCTGGCCCTGAGTGGGATAGCCTGGTAACCCGAGTTTAATCTCGGGGACCGACATGGCAGGAGAGAACCAACTCTTTTTTTTTTTTTTTTTTTTTTTTTTTCTTTTTTTAGAGACAAGGTTTCTCTGTGTAGTTTTGGAGCCTGTCTTGGAACTCGCTCTGTAGACCAGGCTGGCCTCGAACTCACAGAGGTCAGATCTGCCTGTCTCTGCCTCCTGAGTGCTGGATTAAAGGCGTGCGTCACCATTGCCATGCAAGAACCAACTCTTGAAAGTTCTTCTCTAATCTTTGCATCAGTCCATAACCGGCTCCCACACATGAGCTTGTGCACAGCGGCAGGAAGTGTATGTTCATTTTTGGGGTGCCTTTTGTTTCTCCCAGTATTCAGTGTTTCCACTGGGTTTCGTTTTGCAAACACCGTGTGCTCACCTGGTGTACATTTACTATGATTATTAGCATTTTCTTATTTTATATTTTACTTTCTTTGGGGTTGACAGTTGCATTCTTTTGTGTTCAGCTGTGTGATTTGCTGTGTACATACAGAGCATATTTGTGAACCATATTTAGTGGAATTAAATATGATGGCTATACTCTCTTTAACCAGAAGTTATTGTCTTTTTCATTGGGAGAAATTTATATCATGTAGAACTTTTTAAATTCATTTTTAGTTTCTCAGTCAACTTTTCATGTCTGTATGAGTAATGTTTAAAATTTTCTTTGTTTTCCAATTAAGATGGGAAGATTATTTTTGGTTGCAAGTTCCTTACTTGTCCCTTTATTTATTGATTGGCTTGTATGCACCAGTGCTTTCTTCCACGTGGTGTGGATAATTGGGTAGTTTTGGTAATTACTAGTGTTGTTCAGTGTGTATTTTATCCGGTGTCTGGTCTGTCTATGGAAGTGTGACTTAGTCACACCCCACTGAGCTTGTTCCCTTATGTCCACATGTCCAGCACAGTCGCTGTTTTAGGAGGCGATGGTTGAGACTGTTTCACTTTCTTCCTTTCTGTTTGAATAAATAGGGTCTTAACTGTGCTGACCATCCAAGTCTGGATGTTTGTCTCTCAGTCTCCCTAAACAGGAAGGATGGAAATGTCTGCTTTTATTCTGGAGAGTAGCTGTTCTTTACCATTTGAATCTTTTAGCTGATGTATGTAACTTCATTAACTTGCCTTCCATGTTAACATGAAAATCATTGGAAAGTATTTTGCCCTGGGCTGAAATGTGTGGGTCCTACCATCTCAGTGTGCATAACTACACTTTAAAAAAAAAATTATATTGGTTTATTTGTTTTGTGGGTATATTTGTGTACGCACACTTCAAGGTCAGAGGACAATTTGTAGGACTTGGTTCTCTCCCATATGTAGCTCAGGGATTGAACTTAGGTGATCCAGGCTTTTGGGAAATGCCTTTACCTACTGAACCATCTTGGTCTTCAGTATGCATGACTGAGTGTCTGGCGTGCACTGGTCATGCTCTTTTTGTTGAGAAGTATATTTGACATCTGACAGTTCTGCTAAAATTTGCTTGGCTGTGTTCTCTAAACCCTTGAAGTAAAGTGCATTATTGCTTTCATTTATGTGCTGCAGTTGTGGGATGTGTCTTAACTCACACATGTTTATTATTTAGGATGCATACTGGATAGCAATGAATAGTTCTCTGAAGTGTAAAACTCTCAGTGACATCTTCCTGCTTTTCAAGAGTTCTGATTTCATCACTCGTGACTTCACACAGCCGTAAGTGTCTTGTGAGTAGCCTCCTGTGGGTAAAATTCTACTCTCTAGAGCTGTACTGTAACATTTCTATGTCATGAGCTACTTTGTGGCCCTCAAGTGGCATTTTAAAGCAAACCTTTCTTTTTCTTTTACAGCAAATGCTATTCAGTGGCTATGCCTATCAAGAATGTGTGTGTGTGTGTGTGTGTGTGTGTGTGTGTGTGTGTATTAAACATTTTAGTAATTTTTTCCTCTTATAAAATTCAAATATGCTTATAAAACAATTAGTAACTAATGAGGAAAAACAGGAAAGCATGGTGAGGTCATTATATGATCAACTGTATATACTTCCAGATTTCTTTTGATTCATAGATATAATGTAAATATACCTGTCTTTGTCTATTAAGGATTATTTAAATTATTCATATGTGTATTTTGTGTGTGTGTGTGTGTATGTGTTTGTGTATATGTGTGTATACAACTCATAGAGCACTTGTGGAGGTTAGAAAACAGCTTATAGGACTTGGTTCTCTCTCTTTACCATATGGATCCCAGGGGTCGCACTGAGGTTGTCAGGCTTGGGAGCAACTGCCTCTGTCTACTTCCTGAGCCATCTTGCCAGCCCACCTGCCCCATTTTTTTTCTTAATTTAGGACTTTTTTGTTTGTTTTATGTATATGGTGCTTTGCTTGCATGTATATGTCTGTGTGCCATATGCATGCCTGGTGCCTTTGGAGGCCAAAAGAAGGTATCAGATCTGGAGCTGGAGTTATAGATATTGTATGCTGTTATATGGGTGCTAGGAATTGAACCTGGGTCCTCTGGAAGAATAGCCAGTGCTCTTAACTGCTGAGCCAATTCTCCAGCCCAACTTGAAGATTGGGATCCAGTTGTTCAAATTGCTCTGTAGGTTATGTTTGCAGTGTATAGTGACAGTATGTTATCAGCATATCATGACACTTTCTGTGTCTTTAAATGCTTACATTTATCATTATTTTATCTGATCTCGATGGTTTGCCCCTAGATACTGGTAGCATGATATGTTTGAGCAATTCTCTTTTCTTTTATAAAGCTCTGCCATAAAGATCCTTAAAGTAAATCTTGAGGATATATATATATATACATATATATATATATATACATATATATATATATATATGTATATATATATATTTTTAAGTAGAATTATTGGAGTTGGTAAATGGGTTGCAGTGGGAAGGGAAAGAGATTAGAGATGTCTCCCAGGCTTCTAGCTCAAGTAT